CCGTCTTGGAGCCAGGGAAGGGGAGGGGCAGCCGGACACTGGACACCCCAAGCCCTTCCCGAGGACATCATCAGAGTGCCCGCCATTGCACATGGCGAGAGCTCTGATGACATCCTTCCAGTGCAGCATTTTTACATGCTGCACCGGAAGAGGCGCAAAAGAGTCATGTGGCAGTTCTTGCAGTGCCCTTTCCATGGCTTGGGAAAGGAGCGCTATTTTGGTGGTCCTCTCCCAGTCGCCGAAAGGGTGGATTGGGGCTGAGGCATGGGGTAGCCTTGGCCCCAATCCTCCGCTTCTCAGGGCAGCCCATGGCCGCCCATCTGCATCCCCCCAATATTATGAATTAGCTTCAGCATTAACTTCTAAATACTTAAATTATACTCTGTCCTCTTCCATAACACTTCACATAACAGTATGTTTCAAGTCCACCATTTCCTAAATATTATCCAAAGTCTTCAAATATAAGACCTGTAGTTCTCATCTCATCAGGAAAGATAATTACTGGATTTCTGGAATAATATATTTCAGTTTGGCGAAAGAAATCTAGGGAAGGATAATGTTTAGAGCAAGAACTAATACAGGAAGATGCAGGCAGACACTTAAGATACAACTATGGTCCAAAACACATTGCAGAAATAATCCAGTTTGAGACCACTTTAACTGTCCTGGCTCAGTGCTAGGGAATCCTAGGAACTGTAATTGTAGTTTATTGTGACACCAGACCTCTCTGCCAGAGAAGGCTAAATGTCTCACAAAACTAGTTCTCAGAATTCCCTGGCATTGAGAAAGGGTAGTTAAAGTGGTCTCAAAGTGGATTATTTCTGCAGTGTGTTTTGGACCTACGTGTCACTTACATAGAAGCAAGCCCCCTGAACACAATGCAACTTATTTTTGAAGAAACATATAAAAGAAAGCGTTGCTAGGCTTTGCTTTGGTCCACATCTCTAACCAAAACAGAGCCATTTACTCACATTCACTCCATTACCCCTTGCTAATTTCCTTTTTCCTGTTTCTGTTTACCACATTATTCTTGCTTCTGTCTTCCATTCACTCCCCTACAAACTGCTAAAATTTAGATGGCAGTCTCCTTGTGGCAGGGGCCTGCCTTTTTGTTTCTTTTACTCTGCAAAGCACAGTGTGCACTGATGAAGTTGATGAATAAAAGAAGTAGCAATGGAACACTGTTCTACTTTCACTAAGCCCTTTTCTAAGATTCCATGGAACATGATTATTAACATCATGTAATCAACATTTGCAGTTACTTTGGTGTGACTACAAGCCTAATATTTCCTATACATGTCAAGGACTGAATATGATTACATTGCAGGAATACATTTGAAATAAATCCATGCAATGCCTACAATATCACAACTATTTTCTGCCACAGGCCACAGCTATTTAATACAACAATTTAAAGCATTCTCACAAGTGAGAATGTGAAAGGTGAAAGAATGCAGTAGAAGGTTAACATAAACCAAACAATACTGAAATAATAATGTATAATGTAAGCCGGGGTCCCCACACTTTTCCGGCCAGAGGCCGTTTCGATGTCCCCCAGAACAGCCAAGGGCCGGAGGGAAAAATCACGGAGGTGGGCGTGCGCGCATGCATGCGCACAACGTCGGGTGCCATTTTGTGTTTCAAAATGGCGCCGGAGTCATGTGCATGCATGCACGACACCAGGCACATGCGCACAACTCCGGATGCCATTTTGGAACACAAAATGGTGCCCTGCGTCATGCGCGCATGTGCACCACTCCGGCGCCTTTTTGTATTCCAAAATGACGCCCGGAGTTGTGCGCATGCGCCTGGTGTTGTGCGCACATCACCGCATGCCATTTTCTCTTCCAAAATGGCAGCTGGAGTCGTGCGCATGCACGCACAACGCCGGGCGCATGCGCACAACTCCAGACACCATTCTGAAAGACAAAATGGTGTTCGGTGGAGCGCAAGTAAGCGGCGGTGGCAGGACCGGCCACAGGACGGTAAGAAGGCCTTGACGGGCTGGGGCCGGCCCGTGGGCCATAGTTTGGGGACCCCTGATGTAAGCCATATCTTCTCAAAATTAATGCAACTGAGAAATGTAAACAGAAGCTTGGATTTACTATACCTCCAACAATAATGAAAGCTTAATACTGTACTTTTCAATACTTTTAAAATAAATGCACAATTCTTCTCCATTAGCCAGCATGATGTAGTAGCTTGAATGCTGAACTAGGACCCTGTAGACCAGGGTTCTAATTCCTCCCTAGGAGGAAGGCAAAGGGAAGCCCCCTCTGAACAAATCTTGCCAAGAAAACCCTGTGATAGGTCTAACTTAGGGCTGCCATTAAGTTCCAAATCACTAGAAAGAACAGAACAACAACAAGCACAACTGCAGCAGGTCCAACAGCTATTTTGTGGCTTCTAGAAACATCAGTGGGCTCCACCAACACCAAAAATGAAATATACAAAAACAAAAAACCCACCTGGAAGTCCTCAGAAGTTAACTTCCCATTTTGAAAAAAATGGGGGTGGGGGTAAAAATGCAGGAAGACCCTGCAACCTAAATAAAAGATAGATTGCAGTCCTAGTTATTTCTGGGAGAGGCAATTCAATTTTGGGGAGAGAAGAAGTCCTTCAGAAGGGGCAAAGATAGCAAAAAGACTCCTGTGGGCTGCACATGGCCTCAGGGCTGCACTCTGCCCACCACTGTTCTACAGCAAGGAAAATTATATACTGTACAGTGGTGCCTCCACATTTGCTGTGGTTAGGGGTGAAGGACCCCCGTAAATGTGCAAAACCCACAAATAAGAAAACACTGTGGTTTTTTTTTAACTTAAGAGAACACATCTCTAGGAATTTCCAGGTCCTCCAGTGCAACTCTATGGTCAACATCTCATCAAATCAGCTGGAGGAGCTACAAATGCATAGAGAAGTGTTTTCTCTAGGAATTTTTAGATTCTCCAGCAGCTCTATGGTCAACTTCTGGCAGAGTTGTGCTTTAGGACCTAGAGATTCCTAGAGAGAACATACTAATCAAAATAGCTAATAATCAAATCCACAAAAGTTAAAGCCACAAATGTGGAGGGCCAATTGTACTTAAAAGTGAACAGCAAAAATGTATGAAGTGACTGAAGTACGCAATGTGTAGTAATAAAATGGCTGAGATGCACACAAGTGAAGTTTACACCACGTCCCATTTATTTGTTCTAAAAGGGGAAGAGGATAAAGGAATTTATTTATTTATTTATTTTTAGAAAACCAGAAAACACTCTGGTTAAAGTAACCAGGAACAATAATCTTGCTGTGATATTATTACATTACAAACATATACCTGAATACATTCACCAGAATGCAATACTTTCTATGCTCTAGTGCCTTATAATAAGTAAAACGTAGCCATCAAGGCAACTGCAGAGGATCTATTTCACTCTAGTGCAGGGGTAGGCAACCTTTCCCCTTTAAGGGCCTAGGGACTTCAGTTCCCAGAATCCCAGGAGCTATTGGCCAACATGGGACTATTGGCCAACATGGCTGAGGCTTCTGGGAGCTGAAGTCCCTTGGCCCTTAAAGGGGAAAGGTTGCCTACCCCTGCTCTAGTGTCTGTGGCATGTGGTTTCAATTCCCCCTCAAAAACAAACAAACAAAAAAAAAAACCAAAAAACAAAACAAAACACAAAACCAGACAAAACAAAACTTTTTTAAAAATAGTGCCACACAAGAATTTAATCCATGAAATATACCTCATAGAAATTATTTTAGGCCACCTGAATTTGAGAAATTCTTGCAGTGTTTTAAATATCCCAAATTGGCACAACTATGCTGTGTATCATTTAGCTTTGTGGGTTCCCCCCCCCCTTTAACCTTTCCCCATATATCTCTTTAACCTTATAATTTCATTTTTCCCTACGTTATCCAACCACAAACTTGGTACTCAAATGTTACTTCATCAGTTGCTATCCCTTCTCCCTATAAGGCAACATCAGTCTATCCACCACTCCCCAACCCTGTGGGCCCCGATTTAAAAACTCTTTCCTCAGATTCAAGGTTGGTTGGTTGTTTTTTTGGGTTTTGCCGCAACTGAAAGAGACCTATTAAACCAGTTTTTGAATGAGTCAACATGCAGATAAATCCCATGGACTGAATGGGTCTACTTTAGTCAGAACTAACAAGTTAGTTGTGCCATAACACAACAAACACAATACAACTGTCAGCCTTTATTCAGTCATTGGAAGTTTATTGCTGCGTTGTCCAAATTTCCATGCCAAAGAGACAAGTCATATATATGAGAAGATAGTGGAGAAGTAAATCCTAAACAGATCTTTGCACAAAGACTAGATGTCACTCAGCAAGTCATCCCCTATAGCACAGGTGGGGAAACCTACGGACCTCCAGATTCTGATAAACTACTACTCCCATCATGCCTCATCATCAGCCCAGCTGAAGGATGTTTTAGCCAGGCTCATGAGGGCTTGGTTGTAGCTCCTCCCTTTATGGTGATACTACATGTAGCATCATCATAAGAGGAGGTGGTGCAACCAAGCCTTTATGAGCCAGGCTAAAATTTCCTTCAGCTTGGCTGGTGATGAGGAATGATGGGAATGGTAGTTTGTTAGAACTTGGAGGTCTGTAGGTTCTCCACCCCTGCCCTAAAGGGTTCATGACCAATAGGCTTTGCCTCTTCAGCAAGAGATCTGAAGATACCATTAAAAGGTTGAAAAAAAAGGTCATTTGATTTAGCATTGTATGTTATTCATGAGACATGTGGAGGAACCATTCCTGTTTTCTTCACAAGAAAACCAAAATATCTTGGACATTTATAAAGGTCTGAAGAGCCAAAATAATGGAACAGAGGAGCTCATAGGACAGGAAACATGAAGGGGCAGAGCGGATGGGACCCAACCTGAATCAGTCCCTGCATTGGTGTCTGTCCCCACAACGTGGATCTGGTAATGATGATCAGCCAGGCTTCCCCGCAGTTTCCAAGAATATCCTCAGCAAACAGCAGATCAAGTTGAGCCACTGTGGTATAGTGGTTTGCACACTGGATTATGACTCTGGAGACCAGGATTCAAATCCCAGCTCAGCCATGTAAACTCACCGGGTGACCTTGGGCAAGTTGCACTCTCTCAGCCTCAGAGGGTGACAATGTCAAACCCCTTCTGAAGAATCATGTCAAGAGAACCCCATGATAGGGTTGCCTTAGGGTCTCCATAACTCAGAAAGCGACTTGAAGGTACAAAATAACAAAAAGGCCCTTTTACCCTGGGAATAGCAATAGCAATAGCAGCTTAATTGCTCCCAACAAGCTGGGAGCCTCAGAATCGATACCAAGCTTAATTGACCCTGAGCCCCTGGCTGGTATTGAACCCACAACCTTGTGCTTTGTGAGTGGCTGCAGTACTAGCATTTAACCACTGCACCATCAGGGCTCCTGGTGAATGAAGAATGAAAGGTAATGAAGGTCCAAAACACACTGCAGAAATAATCCAGTTTGAGACTGCTTTAACTGCCCTGGCTCAATGCTAGGGAATTCTGGGAACTGTAGTATTGTGAGACATTTACTTTTCTCTGTCAGAAAGCTCTGGTGGCACAATAACTACAATTCCCATCATTCCCTAGCACTGAGTCAGAGCAATTAAAGTGGTCTCCAACTGGATTATTTCTGCAGTGTGTTTTGGACCAAAGTCCCAGTTGCTGCATGATGGTCTAATAACTTTTAATTCTTAAAAAGCCCAAAACATTATTATTGGACCATTGCAGAGCATGTGGGACTTTGCCACCTTTCATTCTTCTACTGTGAATACATACTTTCTAGTTTTTTGTTCTGCCCTTTTACAGGCCAAATCAACTGGATCCACACCCAGTTTGCCAGGATCCAGCCTGATCCTGGCCCTGGGGTTTCGGCCTGTGTTGATCAAACAGGAATGCAAGAATATGGGGAACATGAGCTTTTTGGCCCATGCAGACAGCCTCAAAGACAGATAGAACTTTAAAATAAAACGGAAGTAGTCAAGCCTTCATTCATGTCTATTCAAACCTTTCCTTCTGCAAAATTGATCCAGAATCAGATTCAAGAGTAGGGAGACACTGAGAAGTCAGCAGAATATAAGGAGAACAAAAGCAAAGCTGTCACTCACTGCTTGTAGGGAGCCATCCTGAAAAAGCAAGAAGGTTCACAGAATTTGTGATGGTGTCACTGTCTTTCCTAGTTTATAAATAAAAAACAACAACCCAAGTCTACAAAAATGCTAGTGGATGGAGGGTTAGTGCTTTCGCAAGCAACTGCCGTGTCAGCAACTGAATAAGATCTTATCTTCAGGAAGGTCAGGAATAAAGTCAGCCAACTCAGGAGAGAAACAAATTGGGTAACATATATACACAGAAGAAAGCTATAAATAAGTAATCTTTACAAACAAAATTTATAACCCACCTTTTCACAAAAGCTTTCCCCTACTGATGTTCCGGCATCCTTTCTCATTAAGAAATAAGATGACGAGAGCAAGAAAAGAAGAGAAAGATGAACAAAAATAAAAATTTGGACAAGGTGGCAAAGGAATTTTACTAAAGTAATACTTGTTTTTATTTTCAATTTGCAGATACTGCATGCACAGTTATTATAGTAATACATTAGCTGAACAGAAGAACTTGCAAGATTCCTGGTGCTTTAGTTTACATAAGAATTAGAAGACAGAAAAAACTGATATGACATTTTATACCCATTGAACAATAATCCTGGTTACAAAATATACAAAATAAAGAATGTGCAAGTTTAGAAGAATCTACTTCCTGGATGTATATTTATTATATTCTGCAGGGAAACAGTGTAAATATTAACCCAAAAATGAAACAGTGTTTGGAAATGACCCATATATACAGGCTGAGCAAGACATACAAAACACTATACTAAACCAATATCTAGCCTCAGGACTGTAGAATATTAATTCTGTTGCACAAAATAATAACTTTTATGATATTCTCTGCATAGAGTGCATGATTGACTACATCTAGACCCCAAAACTCAGGCAGACTGTTACTACAATATAACATCACATGGTTATATTGTGATGCAACAGACATCTAAGTACGAGCAGACGTAGTTAATTTTGAATAGATCTTATGGATCCACATCTGTCTGCACAGCTTCTTCCCTAACCACAAATTGAAGGACATTTAAGACAGTAAAGCCACAACCTGCACCATTTAGATTGCTATTTCCAAGTAAGCAGTTAGTGGGAGGTGCCATCTCTCAAAGAAGGTAGTATCAAAAAATATTCTCCCAGATTTTATTTCTATTTTAGGGTGGTTTTTTTAATTCAGGGGTGTGCAAATATGGAAGGTTAGGATGTCTCATTAGCTGCCTAGGAGACCCTGGAAGGCTACACTTGCTGTTGAAAAAAAAAAAAAAAAAAAAAGAGAGAGAGAGAGAGAGAGAGAGAGAGAGAGAGAAGGAAAAATATTGCCCCTTAATGATTTTGGGAGAATAGGGGCATTTTTTGAGTTTTAAAAAAGGACTATGTAGCAGCAAAATATAGTGGAAATGGCCCCAGTGGACATTTTAAAACATTTTGAGGCCAAAAATAATTTTGGGGGTGGGGGAGCAAAAAAAGTCCCCCTGTAGTAGCAGTTTCCAAATATATGGAGCCTGTGGGTTACACTTTGCTCACCTGTTTTAATTCATTTAGTTGGAAAATGAAGTAACTAACGCTTTTGGGTATGAGTACCCCAACCGTTTGCTGGGTATGTTTAGCCTGGAGAAGAGACGGTTAAGAGGGGATATGACAGCCCTCTTTAAATCTTTGAAGCGCTAGCTTTTTTCTGCTGCTCCAGAGAATAGGACTCGGAACAACGGATGCAAGCTACAGGAAAAGAGATTCCACCTCAACATTAGGAGGCACTTCCTGACAGTGAGAGCTGTCCGACAATGGAACACACTCCCTCGGAGTATGGTGGAGTCTCCTTCCTTGGAGGTCTTTAAGCAGAGGCTGGATGGCCATCTGTCGGGGATGGTTTGATTGTGAGTTTCTGCATGGCAAGGGACTGGATGGCCCTTGTGGTCTCTTCCAACTCTATGATTCTATGATTCTCTCAACAGCAGCCAAATAGGCCACCTTTCCAACTCATGTTGTTCCCTTAAAAAAAAAAATACAGCAACATGAAAGCTGACTAATTCTCCGTAATTTTTTCAGTTGGTATTTGAAACCTATGTGGCAAAAGAAAGCAGCATACAGTCACTTTGTTGCACTACAGATAATAATCATTTTACATATTATAATTTTTAGATACAACTGCACAAAACTTTTGCAGATTCAGAAAACATGTGGCACATTAACCATTTGAAAAATATTTCCTAACATACTGGATTATTATAAGATAATCTTGGGTACCACACCAGGGGATACGCAGGATTTAAATTAGATAAATTGGACAAGTGCAGTCACACACTGAAGATTAAGTAGTAAAACAAATGGACAATAATACAAACTCTGCTTGAACACAGGCAACTGCTTTTGCTATAAAGCAAGATTCACCTTCAATAATAATCTAGCAGAACATTACAGGGTTTAATTCTTCCCTTTTTATTATACACTTAAGTATAAAAAAAGGATAAAAGATAAAACCCTGTAATATTCAGATAGATTATAACTGAGACTATGTATTTATAGTAAAGTAACTAAATGGTATATAAATGATATGTCCCAGGTTCCCAAGAGTGAAGATCGCTATGGTCCTCCAAGTGTTTCAGCTCCCAGAATTCCTGGCTTTTAATCAATGTGGCTGGGGCTTTGGGGAGTTGAAGACCAAAACACCTGGATGGCCAAAGTTTCGAAATCACTTTTTAAGACTGTAGAAGAAATCCTGCAAGCACAGAGTGTGGTAAGCTATGTTCTTGAGATACACAGATCTTCCATTCCATACAAATATGATGCAGTAGTTAGCACAAATGTATCTTTATACTTCTTTTCAGTGATCACATGAGGGTCCCATTAGGTTTGCATGTCAGAAAGGTCTGGAAGTAATTTCTAGTTATTAGAAAGAGGTACCAGCCCATGAAATGTTCTGACTCTTCCAAGCCTGCTTCCCAAACTACTCCCAGCATATCACTCCTCCATGCTTAGCCCTTGTATATTGAGGCTTTCAGTTCCACCCTCATCACCCATATAAAATATTCAATCAAACATAACACTCAACTTTTAATATGATCATTTAAGGTACTGCAGAGTAGGGCACTTTCAGTAATTATCTATATCAGATGTAAGTAGACTAGAAATGTCTGAAAGCCAGGGAAAATGCTTCATGTTTACATTAAGTTCCTGTCCTTATTTATCCAAAACCTTCATATAAAAACACAACCTCCTGTTCTTAGGATCAGTGTGAACTTTCTCCTTCTAAAACTGGTATCAGAAGCATTTCTCCAGTCCAGGACAAGGTTAACAAAGTGAAGAGTCAAGCTTCTTCCCAGATTGCTAAGGATTTCCTCTCAGGAACAATTTGAAGGCACACAACATACACATATAACCTCCAAGTTAAGGAACTTGGTTCTTCTTTAGATAAATCTTCAAAGGTACTCTCTCTCTCCCTCTCTCTCACTGTGCAAAATTATTTGTTAAAAAAGCCATGCCCAAGCAACACATCAACTTTGGCTGCGTCTGCATTGCAGAAATTTATTAAAGCAGTTTGACACCGCTTTAACTGCCCTGGCTCAAGGCTATGGAATTCTGGGATTTGCAGTTTTGTGAGATATTTAGCCTTTTCTGTCAGAGAGCTCTGGTACCACAAAGCAAACTGCAGATCCTATTAGTCCATAGGATGGAGCCATGGCAGTTAAAGCGGTGTCAAACTGCATTATTTCTGCAGTGCAGATTCAGGCTGCATCCATACTGTAGAACTGGCTTCCTTCTTCTCCCTTCATTCTCATCCTCCTCCTCCTCTCTCCTGGCTCTCTTCTCTTTCTCCCTCCGTTCTCATCCTCCTCATCCTCTCTCCTGGCTCCCTTCTTCTCCCTTCATCCTCCTCCTCATCCTTCTCTACCCGGTGTATAAGACAACCCCCAACTTTTGAGACCCTTTTCCAGGGTTAAAAAGTTGTC